ATAAAACGATGCAATTTTTTTTTTTTTAGAGTGGGTCAATAAAAAAGGGTTAAGTGGGTCAAAAACAATGTTTTTGCCAACTTAAAAGTTTAAAATAAAAAAAAATTTATGTTATAAATATTGTCCAGAGTGAAGGTAAAATCCAGACTTGTCACAGTATCATTGTCATAATCACGATTAGTGTGAAATAATTTATGGTCAAAGCACTATGTACCCCTGAAAAATAATTAATTGATGATATGAAAATAACGAACTTGGCTTGATTTGTATGTATCAAGAATACAAACATGTAGAAGAATTAAAAAAAGAATAAAAAAAAATACATACCAATACCGATACATGTAAATTAATAATGGCGATAAACTTTGATTAAATTATTGTCAAATACTATTACAGGTATCAACGTTAAAACTATTAAATACGTGCTAAAATAAATGTGGCAGATTAAAATTAAATTGACAAGCCACCGAAAAATACTAAATTTTTGGGTGCATTTTTTTAAGTATAGATTAAATGGAAGCCACAAATTTCATTTTAATCCGATTTCGCTATGATTTGCGACAATAATTAATTAATGAATTATTAAAGTTCAGGCTCAAAGGTTTCCAATTCCCACGTACGTACGTAGTTAAGATTGCAAATTTTTATTAACTTTAATCCTTATCCCTATCATTATGTAGTTATTTGGTCCTTTTTTTCCGCATGCCTCACATAAATAATAAGGGTGCATATGGCATTACTATTATATGCAAAACAAATAATTTACTCGAGGGTTTTCTGCTCTAACTATATATTACTCTTTGCAGCGTATAGTCTCTCTTAAATCTTGTTTACCTTTTAAAATTACAAAAATCACGATTTGAGCAAGATTTATTACATAGCTTAAAAGTCGATGATCATTGAAAATGAAAAATTTTTTTGGTGAGAATATTGTGATCATTCAAATTAAGTGATACAATAGAATTATATAACCATTACGAATAATAAAAATATAAAATATTAATAGGCAAATATACAATTAACCATACGAATAATAAAAATATAAAATTATTAATAGGCAAATATACAATTAACCAATCAAATTCTTGTTTTCATAAACGGTTTTCATAAGCAATTTATAACTCAGAAGACACAGTCAACCAATTATACAATCCATACCCATACAATTCAATTTTATTATATTTTGAATATTTAATACCGGTAATTTCGCAACATCACATAAATGATTGGATCAAATTTATGAATTATATTTTTTAATAATCATCAGGATCGACAAAATCCGCCCATAAACGATAATTCATAATATTGGCGATGCAGTGTATCTTTTGTTTTAGACAGTCCAAAAACATTAATCTTACAATAAACCAAAGTCATTCCTTTGATTTTAATCATACTTTCTGGTCTTGGTCGTATTAAAGCGTTAATAAAAATTTTTTTTACTATCACTAACCGACCTTTCATATCATGTGACTAAATTTGCCGATTAGCCCGACTATACGGAATATTCGGAATTGAACTATATAGTTGATAATTAAATCGATTGGTTGTTTTAAATTTTTCTAAGTCAATTAGTTGAAAGTTGTCAACTAGTTGATTTTCAACTAAACAATTTGGATCATTAGTCACAAAGCAAGATTTATTAGGAGCGTAACGGAAGATAAAAAATGTCCTGGGTTCCGTTCACATTAAAGTTGTGACCCGAAGCTCGAAACTATATATAAAATCCCGAAACCTTTTCCGAAACTCTATCGCTATACTGAAGGGTTTAGAAATTTAATTTTAAACTTTGAACTTAATGTATATGATAATTAGATTGCATTTCAAGAATGTTTTAGTTACTTTATAGTTAATGTGAATTAGTAATCAACATTCTAATTTGAAGGTTTCGGAAAGGTTTCGGGTTTCGGGTCACAAGTATAGTTCACATGATCATCAACCAATAAGTGTTTGTAACAAAGTCAGACAAAAACACTAGTTCTATAAGTACTTAGTTTCGAGTGCAATAACATAACATCGATTTTCTAACCGTGAGAGATCTTCGCGATTGACATATAAAAAAGAAGTTCCGCAATGAGTTTCTTTTATTGTATTAGTCAATCTTCACGATTGACTGCATGTAATAATCGTGAAGATTCTTCATGGTTATCATTATGCTCCGCATGGGCCGTTTGTGTAAAGGCACAATTTCCAAGCTTTTACCTTTACCCTAGAGCTTGGAATCGATGTGTAAGGTCCGCCGTTGTGTGCATACCCACGGATAATCCAAAGCCTAGTTGTAATTTTATCGTTATTGCGAAAGTTAAACGTATCGATCGATCCCAATCATGACTAACAGAAAAAAATTTCGAGTTCTCATGAAAATGATCTTTTAAAACTTATTTTTACTTATTTTGGATTTATACCTAATTAAGTACATCTGTATATGGAATTTTATAATATCTGCAAATTTAATTATAAGTTGAAAATAAGAGAAAGAAGATTTTCCTTACCCGAAAATATCCGAAAGTTTCCACAAATAGTGATAGCGCTTTCTTTCGCAGCTTACATTGCTATTTATTGATATTTATTTTTCATTTATTTCACGTGGAACAAAAAAGCTCCTTATTGAATGTTTCGTTTCATGTGTAATAGCAAAAGTTCGTGTAAAACAATTTTGCAAAAATTTTCGTAATATATGTTAATAAAAAAAATTCTAATTGACATAACCTATATACATCTGTACATGATGTAGATTTGCCGAGAGGTCTTACTCGTTCAAAAATAAATATTCGAATCTTCATTTGTTCAATCTTTTTAGTATTCGGATATTCATCGAATCTTCATTGGACATTCATTGAATATTCATTGGACATTCATTGAATATTCATCGAATATTCATTGGACATTCATTGAATATTCATCGAATATTCATTGAAATATTCATCGAATATTCATTGAAATATTCATCGAATATTCATTATCGAATATTCATCAAATATTCATTGAATATTCATCGAATATTCATTGAAATATTCATTGAATATTCATCAAATATTCATCGAATATTCATCGAATATTCATTGGATATTCATTGAATAATTTTTATATTCGAATATTCAATGAATATTTGAATGTACAGTACTACGCATTCATCGAGCTAAATCTCTAGTCGAAAGTATTTTGGCACTATTAAATTGCCAAGTATTTCCGGCAACTTTATATTAACAATCAAATGTCAAAATATTTTAGAGATGCAATAATAGTTTTCACGCCATGCATAGCATGGCCTAGTGTTCTTGGTTGGTAAAAATTTTGCCAATTGATTAGTTGTCAACTATAGTTGCAACTAATCGATTTTTCATATCATGTGACTAAATTTGTCGATTAGCCAATCAAACCAAAGAAATAAACACGGATTAGCCCGACTAGACGGAATACCTCGGAATTGTCATTAAATCGATAAATTTTTCTAAATCGATTAGTTGTAAAGTTGTCAACTAGTTGATTTTCAACTAAACGATTTGGATCACTTGACTGATGTTTAAATTTATAATGAAATGTTATTTGTGAAATTGTATGTCAAATATTATCATAATACTTTGGAAATAAATTGTATATCAAGCATTACCATGGAAATCATTTGCTATGTTTAAAAGTAGTGTTTGTAATCGATTCAAATCGTTGATTAATATCGTGCTTATTAACAACTTCTTGCGTTATTTCGTTTTTTTTTTTATAAGTGTGATATTAGTCAATGACTTGAGTCGATTACAAATACTAATTAAAAAGGATATTAATATTTAGCATGATACTAAATAACTGATTCTGATCAATTTGATGTTCTAGATCGAATTAAAATTCCTCCGCTTTGCTCCGAAAATTCCGGAAATTATAAATATGGGTTTTGATTTAAAAATAAGCATTACCATCATTTGTTATATTAGCGACACTCATAATGAATTTAGGTACGTACGTACCGAAGATCTTGTCAATCATTATTACGAAAAATTGATGCATTTCACATGATTGACAATAATATATTTCCAAATACATATTAAAAATTCAAAAAACGTAGAACCATATTAATGACGTTAATGCGCAGCATTGTGTGTCATGTTTAGTATATAAACGCGTGTGTTTGTGTTATACAAAAACACAAATATAAACGCGCGCGTGGACAGACAATTTACATTTTTGATACCTTAACAAGTAAATTTAAGGTGAATCAAAAATGGTAATTGTTTTATATATATCAAAAATGGTATCTTTTTATTTAATAACACGTTACGCTCCGAATGGAAGGCAGATACTTTAAATGAAAGTTTCAGTTTCTGACCTTCCACAAGTTTTGGCGTAAAATTCCTAATTAACAACAAACACTTGCGGTAATGTACTGTAAATATAAAATATTTCTATAATGAAAACTTTTCAAATTCTTATATTATTTGCAATAGCATTATTGACATTGCTTGATGCATATACAAATGCTAAGCAGGATGATAATGATTCAGGATTCATAACGATTCTTCTTACAAAAAAAAATTTTATTAATACCAAAACTTTAGATGATTACATTAAATTAAATACTCGCATAAAAAAAAAATTTTATAGATTAGAGAAACGTCAATCTCCATATTCGAACATAACTTTAAATGATGAAAAACTTGAGGATAACGATATGGGTTATATTGGCCCTATAACAATTGGTAATCAAAATTTTACCGTACTTTATGACACTGGTTCTATGGATCTTTGGATCCCAGATATTTCATGTGCTTCTGAATGCGAGAAACATAATCGATTCGATCCTTCAAAATCTTCTACATTTCAATCGACCAATGAAAGCTTTAAATTAACTTATGGTCTTTTTGGTGACAGTAAGTCTGTTATTGGTTATAAAGCTCAAGATACCGTCATATTTGGTGGTATCTCGATCACACATCAAACCTTTGGTTTAGTAACAAGTGAACCTTTTGGAGATCTAGAAGAAGACGGTGTTATTGGTCTTGGGCCTTTAAATACTGCTGGATTTAAAGCGAATGGTGTTATTCAATCGATAAAAGCCCAAAAAAAATTATCTCAAAATATAATTGGTTTTCATTTGGCGAGAGAAAAAAATAATTCAAATGATATAAGCTTTATGACACTTGGTGGTATTGACCAAAATGCTATTGTAGGTTCTATTGGTTATAATACTGCAAATGTTTCATTAGGGTTTTGGTTAATCCGATTAAATGGCATTATGGTTGATGGAAGGTCGATTGATTCTCTTCAACCTGCCCCAGCTATTATTGATACTGGTTAGTATTATTTATTCTTTTTCATTCAATTATTATTATAATCTAAATTTTATTTTTATTTTATTTTATTTTATTTTATTTTATTTTATTTTATTTTATTTTATTTATTTTATTTTTATTTATTTTATTTTATTTTATTTTTATTTTATTTTATTTTAGGAACTTCGTTAATCTACGGCATTCCTTCAGTAGTTAGTTTAATTCATAACAAAATTCCCGGTGCTAGACTTTATCGAATACAGAATAGTGAGCTTTGGCTTGTTCCATGCAGTACAAAATCTGTAATTTCATTAACATTTGATAGCGGAACATATTCAATCGATCCTATTGAATTTGTTATAAGAGGTGGTCAGTCGAGTCAATTTTGTATTTCAGGTATACAATCAAATACTGAAAATTATTGGTTAATTGGTGATGTGTTTTTGACAAGTGTTTATAGTGTATTTGACTTTGATAAATATAAAGTTGGATTTGCCCAAACAAAACCAATATTAAATCTTACCTCTATTAGTACCGATCATAATATATCAACTTCTTCTAATAATAGTAGTAGTAGTAGTGGTAGTGTAAAAATTTCTCCATTAGGTTTCTGGCAAACTTTTATATTTATCTTGACTATGTTTGTTATTATTTTGTACTAAATATTTTTACTATCTTATTATGTTATACCTATTAAAAAATAATATAATATTGTTAATGTAATATTAAAATTAATTAGAAAATAATATACTAAATGCTAATAATATGCTAAGTAATGCTAAAAAGAACGAGACAAATATTAATAGCAAGCAATTTAGAATTAGATTTTTCACCATAATTTACCTACAACTATAGTAAAATATTAATTGCACCAAGAAAATCCATTATAGTTTTCCCAATCATTAATAATAATAGATATTATTCTTTTTCTCTTTCTTTGCATCGAAACGTTTTTCACAAGATTTGACTTGAAAATCAGTACGTATTTTTCTGTTCTTTTTGCATTTCTTCAATAATTTTTTGTAAACTCCTGGATAATGTTGTTAGTCAAAATACCCTATTTAGTCAGATATTTAGGCAATTAAGTGTCTAAATACATTTCGACTTGATATTATTTTTTGTCGAAATGTCAAAATTCTAAATTTGACTAAATAAATATTATATGACTGAATGTCTCAATTAGCTATGATGTAATAGAATTATCCTAAAGTTACAACAAAATGGGTTCGATTGTAATGTAATAATAGCATGACTTTATTTAAACTATATAAATTACAGTAACGTATATTTTACTTATGTCGTCGCGCGTATGTACAGAAGGTTTGAATGCTTGTTAATAAATATTTTTTAAACATTTAGACGCTATTACATCTGTTCTCAAATTCTGGGACAACGATAAAAATTTGACCGATGATTATTCGACCAAATTCTGACTGTAATGCGAAGCAATTTTTATCAATTGTCCCAGAATTTATGAGAACAGTTGTAACATTTCGACATCATTTTAGAATTTCGGCATGCTTAAATATTAAATATCGAAATATTTCGACAACATAAAGCAATTTCGGCTAACAATATTACTCCCGGATGAATTTGACCATGAGCAAAAGGTATTGTAAAATCTGTAGATTTTGCCCCAAGGCACCAACGCTCTGATTGATACCATTCGAACCAAAGGTAAATCCACAAATGTGGAAGATTGTTGCTAACTGTCGAATAGTTAACCGGTTAGGGGTGTAAAGCTCAATTTTCGCTATGATTTGCCACTCGTTTGGCTCACTACAACGACCAGAGTATCGTTCAGTTACTTCCACAAAAAGGAATACCACAGAACACACTTTTATTGTTTAAGCACTTTTATTAATATGACTTCTAAAATTAAAATTCTAAAAGCTGTTTTATTATACTAAAGATCTATTTCCCTGATGTTCTATAGCGCTATTAAAAAAATGAATGATTACTAATCATTAGCGAAGCTTATTTCTTATATTGCCCACCTATTCTATAGAATATCCGATATTTTCATTATATTTGTTAATTTGGAGGATCAATTCCTCCTCATTATGTTTCCTCGCCTTGTAGTTGGCGTAAAAAAAGAAAAAAAAAAAAAAAAATACAGTTTCAAATTCTGGCCCAAATATATGCTCTGATCCTATAAAATCATTTTTCATATTGTTCTATAAAATGATTTTTCTTATTCTTATTGTTTAGTGACATGGGGTCGTCGATTTGCGCAACATATCATGTCAGCCATAAGCTGTGTTGTTGATTCTATTTCACTTAAATTTTTTTTTTGATATTTTCCCCTATTTATAGTACGCTGCTAAAAAATTAAATGAAAATTAGGCTCTACAAATGTTCCCTGTACTATTCGTCATTAGTGAATATACAAGAGTAAGAACTCACAAATTATCTGAGACCGACAGGTGCATGAACCGTATTGTGGTACCATTTTTAAATGTACCGTCCATTATCCAAAATGGTCGAATATTTCTTTCGTGGTAAATATTGGAATTTGACCTTCTTTCTTCTCCAATAGTACTAAAAACCACTTATGATTTCATCGATTTGATTGTCTTGAATAATTTGTGTTGAGCTATGGTAAGTATGGACCAGTGGATTCGATTGCAATGGGTAGAGTAGCTTCAACAGGTAATATAGCTTGTCGTCCATATACCAATTGAAAAGGTGTATATCCAGTAGTTGCATGTATTCCTTGTTTCGAGATTCCTTGTTTTCAACTTGTTTTCACGAGGCTTTCTGTTTTTATTTTTGCAGTGATTGCATCACTAATCGATGAAATTTTTAGGATAGTGTGATCCATTAAAAAAGTCGACTTCCCCTTGGTTGTTTTTTTCTCATTAGATATTCATGAACATTAATTTTTTTCAAATTGTCTTTTTGAGATGGCACAATATCATAAATTACATCCGAGGTTACAAGAAATTTCTAGATTTAAACGTACCAATGAAATAAGGTCTTTTCGTAGATTCTTAATTTCTGCCTCTTGATCTAAATTTAAATTATACCATTAAATAACAGATTTCATCCATTTTAAATAGAGTTCATGTTAAAAAAAGGTTGAAATATCGTGTTATTATACTTCTATTATAGTACAAAAAAAGCCAACATCACGTAATTTATTAACTATAAAATAGAGTCTATATGGGTAAAGCCAAGGGAAAAGCAGATTTCGGGCTTTCAATTACTGTATATTTTGATCCTGAAAAATTAAATCAGTAATTTACCAAGCATACGTACAAAGAATTTTCTTATTATTCGATGGACCAATCGGAAATGACTAGAAGTTTGATTTCTATTACAGTATTACATATGGTTCATATCACCTATACTCATCAAACTTTTCAAACTTTCCAAACTTTTCAAAATTTTACCGTTACTAACTTTTGATCATATGTATTGATTATTATTAATCAAAATTTCATATTACCAAAAAAAAAATTATATTTGGTCCGAAATTTGAGAAACCATTTAATTTTAACCTTTAATACTTCACCAAATGACAATTAAAAAAAGTGATCCGTAAATCTGAAAGAGAAGCTTTAGGTTTAATATTTTTACGGTTTATATTTAAAAAATATTGCTTAAATTAATAAAAAACAAGATGTTATTTGAAATTATATAAAGTTCTTTTGATAACTATAAGTGATATGAACTATATCACAAATCACTATCAGATCTTGCAGAGGCTGATTCCGGCAATAATGAAAGCCCAAAGACAAGTTTTTTTCTTGGCGACACTCATATAACTTACTATTTTTAGGAAGAGTATCAGTTATAACTGTGATAGACGTTCAAAAAATATTACATACTCAAAACCTTTTATTTATATTAATTTAGTCTGTAAGTATTTAAAATCAACTATTTAAGTTCATGGATTTTTACCATTTAATTTCATGTTTTTCGCGTTTAATATGTAAGCATAAGGAACAATTATTGTTACGGCTGATGCTGAAATTGGCTGATGCTGAAATTTGGACCTATTTAGATTTAAAATTTTAAAATTTTTTTGGGGTGCTTTTTTCTGTCCTTTTTTTAGGGCTAGATTAGGATTTTGAACTAGAATTTATAATTAAAGTATGTATGTGGATTTAGCAGGCTTATATTTTCAAATCAAGACCCCAAAATTCAGCATCAGCCGCGACAATTATTTAAAATAAGCGGTACAAGTTCATGAATATTCATTCTTAAATTTCATTTTATTTACATTAATTTAGTGGTTAAACTCAACTTATAAAAGGAAAATGAAACTCAAAGAATAGTTGATAGTTGAAATTTCGCAAATGAGAAATAAAAGTCGGGGATCCAGTGCGAAGAGACAAAGAATACTAGGTATGATACAAACTGTTATTACTTACTTCAGAATTATGATCTATCAGGATTATAACTTTTTAGGAATTTTTTTCTTTAAAGATTTAATTAGGATTTGAACTTAGGGATCAAGATCTTTGAATTATCGCGAATTTGAATCACTATTTACTATGAGTGAGGATTTGAACTATTGTGATCCTAGAAGTAGTAAGGATTTTGTGTTAGTCGGGATTTAGGTGTTTTGAGATTTTATTAATCAGGTTTATATATTTCAGAGTTAGGATATACCAATTCCATATGAAGCATGCGTTCCTGACCATATGCATCATATTGACCTTGGCCTGTTTAAATACCAATTTGAGTTTACCCAAGAGGTCAAAAGATATAAAGAAAGCGACAAAGCAAATTTTAAAAAAAGCTTTGATAACCAACGTCAATAGATTCTTTACTTCCCTGGACTAAAATTTTTTAATAATAAATAGCAAGATTACTGCAGACTATCGACATCTAATGAAGGTTATACTTTTTGCTCTTGATGATATCTTTGACAAGTGGAATCAAATAATGAGAACAACATCAATAACCAGCAGATCAATCAAAAAGAATGAATTCTAGATGGTCGACAGTAACTAAACCAAAGAGTAATATAAATATAATGAGCCGACAAGAATCAGTTCTGGTAAATATCAGTAATAGTTCGTCAATTAAACTAAAAACTTGCTTAAATAATAATAATATAAATTGAATATAGGCGAATGCAGATTCACAATCTACATAGTTGGAGATACCACATGATCCCAACTATTCGCAATTAAATTGCTTGTCAACAGAAACTTATGAGACGCTTCATAAGATATATTAAAACAGTTAATGAATATGGTGTTATGAAAATTTTTTCATTCATAGTTTTTTTTTTTTTAGCTATCGGTCAATGGATATGCCCCTGATTTTCATAGCCTCATCAGCAAGTACATAGATCTATTTAAATTTTTATGAAGTTATGTAGACTTTTTATTGAATCTTATAAAAACTTCATAAACCCAATGTAGATTTACATAGTTATTTAAATAAATCTATATATATATTTATATAAAACTACGTAAAATTGCAAAAAAAATTTGAATTAAATATAGAATCTAGGATTAGGTTTTAAAGTTTAAATTAGGGGTTTGGAAACGGTTTTCGAGCATGCTGAGCATTTTTACTTAATGCATCGAGCGGTGATTACCTTAGTCACTTTTGAGAAACAGCTAAAGTAAATACAATTATTTTTATATATATAGATATAAATAAATTTTATGTTTATATAAATATTAAATAAAATCTATAAACCTTATATTATATTATATGTAAGAATTCTAACTATATATATAGGTTTATATTGGGTTTGTAAGTTTCTATAAATTTTATAAAAATTGCACTTGCTGATGATGCATGTTTATCGCTATAGCATTATTTTTCGTGAAAAAAAGGCAGTCAAAGAACTTCTTTTCTAATATTTTATTTTTCTAAAGTAAATATAAATGATTAATTAACATGCATTTGCTTTAAAAGAATCGCAACTCAAGGTTAACGAAATGAGAATTATCACGTGATTATTCGGCATTATACCGGGTACAATAAAATGGATAACTATACAGTACGTAAAATTTATTACAAACGAATTTTCATAAAAGCGGTCTTTTAAACTAGTAATAAAATGGCGACGTTTCATAGGGCTGAAGCCTTATTTATTAGGTTTTTAAATTTTAGCATATACGTTAATTTTAAATAGCAAATAAATTTATAACAATGCGTGCGTGCAAGACAAATTCCAATTGAATAATTATAATGAAAGTAATCTCTGCTCTTCAGCTAATCTTAGATGCAAACGTGTACTTTTCTTCAATTTTAGTAATCTATTATGAAAGTACTATTGAAAAGAAGATCAAAAAGAGTACGGACTCTTTATACAGATACAAATGTAAGACCTATAACGAATTCCTTATTGCCAATGTCTAATACTAGTGATAATGCGATTTGTTGCCCAAGCAAGGCACAATGGAAATCGCATACGAGAACAAGTTCCTGATTTTACTTTCCCATATATATCTAATTGGGAGAATCGGTGCCCCTTGTAAACTGTTTAATGTAGACAGTATTGGACCTGTATAATTATCATTTTGAGCAGTATTAACGTTAATGTAGGTAATGTGGGTGGCGCCTTTCCGAGTTCATATGAGTGACGGGAAGAGAAAACCTGTAATTCTAAAAATAAATAATTATAAAATTCATAATAATCTACGTTTAGAATTGCAAGTTTCCTTTTCCCGTCACTCATATAATATCAATAATCATACCCATTGTGCCATTTACCAATCCGTAATAAGTCCAAATT